ACGCTTCTCCAATGCTTCAAACTCTCGCAACATTAGTTCATCCTCAGTATTGGGCTCACTCAGATAATTTGATAAAGAAGGTGTTGATGCATTTGAAAGACTTATTATACCAGGGACAGTACTACCCGGTATCTCCTCAATACTCCTTCCCAAACCAGCAACACTTTCCCTTACACAACTAGGGCCAGCATCAACACATAACTCAGGCATCCCCCGCCGACTACAACCACCTTCATCGATCATCACCCCTTTCCCTTTATCAAGGCCTTCTCCAAAGAGCCTACGCCTTACCTGACTGCCGGAATTTTCGTTCCTGTTCTCAGTTGTGGCAGTCTCGACACTATACATCCTGATCCCATCTCCATGGATAGGATCCTGTTCATCCTCTGCTGCAACACAAACTCTTCTCATGCGTGTACTACAACTTGCTTCTGAAGCCTCTTGCAGAGACAGGAGCAAATTAAGATGAACTGCAGTTCTTCGGACATTAAGGAAATTTCGGATTCCCATTTCACTTGAAATTATTACAGGAGGTCTGCGGTTAACTGAAAACATTGACAGTTGGCTTGGAAGCCAATAACTCAGCTTTGGCATCAGGGTCATCTCGGACAGATCAAACTCCGCAATAACTTTCGCTATCAGCTCGTCATAACTCATTGTCATGCTCATTGATATGCTTCGGGCATAGCACTCCTTTGCAATGAGAAAATCCCATATACCATTTTCACAGCACTCCCAGCTACCAGCAATCACGATAATTGCATGTTCATCTCCCTGCACATGAACAATTATTATAAGATACAGAACCAAACTCCATTGACGAATTCATTCTGCTATACACTGACTACAAGTACAAAAACCACTTAAACCCAAAAAAAATTCAACCTAGCATCCAAAACGACAACAAACATAGCTCTGCATAATATAATTAAAAACCCGACTAATATCCATAACAGAAACGGACTACTACCCATCATACAAACAACTAAATTCCAGTGACAGTTGTGTGAGTTTCCAACTTAACATCAGTAACCTCACAATGAGCTTCAGAGTAATCGATTCCAGAGCTAATGGATATGTATAGGAGTATAAAAGCGAAATCATTACCTCAGAGTTCATGGTTCAAACGGCCACCTTCTCTCTATGAACTTCTATCTTCAGCTCTAGCTTTATGAATCCAACAATTTTAAACAACAATTATCAGATCCAAATATCCACAAACACCTACCACTCTTCTTATATCCTGTATCGTTTCTCACGTTTACCTACCCCACGGATTAAGCTTACACATCGTCGTTTCTCAGCCACAAAAAAGCCGGCACTGTTGGAGATGTCATCTCCGTCGTCAGTTTTGCGAATTCAAGCAATTCCAATCCCGCCCAACTTTTAGAGGGCAAATGTGTAATTTCGCACGAGTGATAAATGCCCAATTTGAAAGGCCCGGTAGATGTTCCTTTATCGAAATTTCTGGGCCAAATAATGCCCATTTTGGCAATTACCCCTAAGAAATAGATATATTAGGAATTGTAAAATAAATATTAATAATATTTATATAGGCCTACTAAATTATTTTTCTTAAAAAAATATCTTATTATATAAAATATGGTTTTCAAAGTTAATAACTCATAGGATCGTGACACGTGGCAAATCTATCGATCTTAGATTTTGCCATCTGTCAAACCTTTTTAATAATAATTAAAAAAAAAGATAATTATAAATTTAAACAGTTTTAAATGTAACAAGATCACTATAAGGAAACTATACATATATTTCCATAAGAGATTTTGCCAGTGGCAAATAAAAAATAGTTTTACAATTTAAAATTGTAAAAAGATAATTATAACAAAATTATAAATTTAAAGAGTTTTATAATATAAAAAGAATATTATAAGGAAACTATATATATATATAAAGAAATTATATGTATATTTTCCATAAAAATAGAAATTATAAAATTATGCTAAACGTTTTATTTATAAGTTACTAACTGTACAAGAAAAAAGATTTAAAAATAAAAAAAATCAGGAAATTATATAATTTATTAATCATATACGAAAAAGATTGTAAATACTCACCTCTTTATAAACAAATAGTTTGTCTCATATTTTCTCACCAAGCAAACTAATTTCTTAAGAAACATCACCATTTTTTTAACTTCATTCTATAAGTAAAGTTTTTACTCTCTTTTTTGTCATAAATTATTTTTAAAATAATATTAGTAACTAACCTTTGACTCAAAAATAGTTAAGAAAATATCCATGAGTCAAAAAAAACTTTAGAAACTAACGTTTTTCAGCAATTAAATAGCCCTCAAACTAAAGACAAAACATACATGTAATTAGAATTTAAAAAACAAGAAATAAACACTAATAACACGAAATCTAAAAATAAAGAAAATTAATATTGGAATTTTTACGACGAAAGAGAGACATCCACTTAGAATCAGAGAAAAAAAACAATGTCATTTAATAAAATAGCATATCATACTAAAAGAAATATGAGTAGCATATGATTGTTAATGGAGGTGACGATGGTGGTGGTTGATGGTTACAGATGTGGTGATAGATTAATTTTAAAAATAACATGAACCATGTAATAATTATTTATCATTTATTGGAAATATATCATGTTATTTATATATAAAATTATTTTGAATTACAATGATTTTCTAAAAATGGGATGTGATATTCAGATTTCAAAGAATATATGGCGATTGGGGCAAATTAAGGAATTATGAACAGCGATGAACATAGACTAGAGTTCGCCCTAATTTTCTTTTCTCTCTGGCACGAAGCCCGAGAGAGCCATTGAAGTTCTTCATCTCTGCTATGGAGCTTCACCTTTACTCTTCTTCCGTTGGTCTATCCCTTCTGTGTAAAGCCTTTCTCACCTGAAGACATCACTTAGTTGGGCTGCCTCCGCCGTCTTTGTTTTCCGGCGAGAATCTTTTTCAACCTTTCTCACTTGTTGTGAAGATCTTATGATGTTCTTGGTTAAGCACAATCTCATGTCTCCGATGAGGCCAGTTACGCCCTCGGTGGTCTCCCCCCTGCTGGAACCACCAGATCTGCTCATGCTTTCCTTGTCTAGGCTTCCTCCGGCTACGTTGATCTTTCGCCGAGATAGGCTGCTTCCGCCGCCTCTTCTATCGCAAATCTCGTGGTTGCACTTCACCAGAGTTTCGTCAACAAGTATCTTCTTCTCGGGATCCGCCTTTGATTCCCGAAGAATTATCTCCCTCCCCGGGAACAGCTACTCCGTCAATTTCTCCTCTGCCTCTCCGAAAATTCAAACGCTTTGGTCTATCCAAGCGATTCTGGTGACTCCATCGACCTCGGCCTCCATCTCGGTCTCAATGTCCGATGGATTTCTGACCACCACAATCTCTAGATTGTTAGATCTGGTGGTCGGAGATCTTGTTTCGGCTGAGCATGGTCTCGCCTGCTCTCTGCCATGCCCTTCAATCGGCAAGAAATGCTTCCACCGTTCTCCGGTTAACCTCATCACTGAAGTTGAACCACTTTTTCCACCTCGATTGGGATTTTCCTCGATAAACTGGAATGGTTCCCCGACGATCAACGGCCGCCGCCTCCTCTGCACTCAAAACGCTGAAGTTGTCCCTAGGGTTTCTAGTGGACCAAGTTTGGGCATAGCTAGTAATGGGCTAGGTTATGGATTTACTACTAATGGGCCTTACAGAACAAAAGCCCAGAACTGCTTTTGGAAGAGAACATCTTCGAATTCCTCCCTGTGGGAGAGACCATTGTTATATTACCTCATTTTTGGCTTATCAGAGACTAAGGATATGTTGTATCTCTTTCCAAATTTTAGAGCTTGTATAGCTTTTTTTTCTCTCTTTGTAGAAGATTCTCTTGAACTTGAACTTATGGGAGGTTATACTCTTATGTTCTCAAATGACTATCCGGTTCGTTTGGTGTCGATTAATGCATGTTTGTGGGTTCTTGAAACTTCAATTAGAAACCAAGTAATTACATCATTTTTTGTTCATCCGGTTGTTAAAGACCGAGACTCTAATTGGATAAGTTTGGGCCATAATGGCACGCCTAGAGGAGATGTATGGTTCTTGAAAGATGATTACTTTTTGATCACCGTGTATGAGGAAAAGAGAAGAACAAACCACCAACTAAACACTTCGCTTCTTATTTCACTTGATTCCTCCTTCATGGAGAGACTATTCCCCCTTTCCCTCTTCCTTGTAAGGGAGTTTTACCGAAAAGTTGTTAGGCCTTTGCTATTTGACGGTTCAAAGGCTCCTAAGTTTCAAGAAAGCGGGTGTGAAAGTAGCTCTCTAATATCATTTCTTCTCTTGAACCATATGAGAGAAAGGATGGCGAGCATTTCATGTGGCCCACGCTTTGGCATTTTCCTGGTTATTGATTGGAAAAAGGCTTTGGGTCCCCTTTTTCTACTTGTTACGTGTGTTAGGATCCTTCTCATATGTGTCGGCAACGGCGTATGGTTCGCGAGAGTTTTCTCTCGTCCTACTTGTGACCACCCTTTTCAGGGATTGGGTGTCTCGGCACTTCAGGCGCAAGTTTGGAACTTCAAAAACATACGAAACCTTGTTTGTTTCGTGATGCAATGTATCTCAAGGTGGCTGGCTTCATGGCATCGTCAAGCGTTTTGTCATACCGAGTGGCTTACCTCTGCGTTGGAACGCGTTATCCTTTGGATCTTTAGATCCTTTTATCCCTTTTTTAATTGTATTTTCTTATTTTGTTGTTTATCTATCAGGGTGTTGCGTGATGTTCAAGAAAGAGCAGCCCGTAAGTACTTTTATTCCCATGTAAGTTTATCGGTTTCTGTATGGCTCTCTTTAGCGGAGAATCCTTGATCCGTAGCTTAATAAAATGGTGTTTGACGAAAAAAAAAAAAGTAAAGGTGTATTTTGATTATATATTAATTAAATTAACAGTGGATTAATTAAATAATTATGAGTTTAAATTAAAATAAGTTATATGACATTTTCACCCTAATTTCATGTTTTAGAAAAACGCACCGAGAATTTTCGTTGGAGAACGGACATCAGACTCTCGATTTCCTCTATCGTTTTCTCGCGACTCTCTAGGGTTAGGGTTTGTTTAATTTCACGCATTATTCTTCTTCTTCTTCTTCTGCAATTCGCGACTGGAGAAGTACCTATTTTCATCGCAGGTAAGGTAAGTATCTAATATTTCTGTCGTTGGTTGGATTACTGTGTTGAATTTTCGTTGCTTTTATTGTTATTTGGATTTGATTTCCCTTAACAAGTTGTTCGATGTTTTGTGCCTTATTTTCGGAATGGGGTTTCGATGATTTGCAATTCGCTAATGTTTATCGTTCTGCATGATTCATGTTCATAGCTTGAAAAATGTTTTTACCCTCTTCGACTCTCGTTTAGACTATGCGGTTATTTTTATCTGAAGCCATGTCATATCCTCTGTTCACGATTCTACTTTTTCCTTATAACCATGTAGTGATGCACATTTTGGTTCTCTGCTTTTGCTAGGTTTGGATATTTTCGTTCTAGAATATACTCTAATGGCTGGAGTTCTAGCTGGAGAATGTTCGTACAGTGAGATTGGAGTTTCATCACTCTCCAGGAATTCTCATGTAAAGCAAGACAAGGTTGAAATGAGAGGTAGCTGCTTTAACAGCAACTTAGCTCATCATATCCCTCTTGATCTAACAATTGAGATTCTCACTAGATTGCCGGTTAAATCTCTTAAGAGGTTCCAATGTGTATCCAAGGAATGGATATCCATCATCTGAAACCAAGTATTCATTGATTCGTTCTTCTCAATCTCCCAAACTCGATCACGATTTCTAGTCGCTGTTCGTATTGCTGAGAACCGTGTAATCCTCTTATCTTCTTCACACAATGAAACAGAGGTACCTACTACTTCTTTGGTTACCAATCTTCAAATGCCAATACGCGGTCGCCGGCTGAACCCTATTCGTTATACTTCTTTGCATACCAATCTCGAAATGACAGTGGCCGGTTTGCCTGTGGACCTTGTTCATTGCTCTTCCATCCATGGATTGTTCTGTTTGGTAGATCCTTCAGATCCAGGTCGGTTCACGATATGTAACCCTAGCACTAGACAAGTCATAACATTGCCGGATATCAAAGCTTTTAGTGGTAGAAGAAAGCGCATAAATATGTTCTTGGGATATGATCCTGTTGGTAATGAGTACAAAGTATTGTGTAGCACGGCTGTGCATGGTGAACCTTGTCAAGTGCACAAGGTTTTAACAATTGGAGGAGGAAATCTTTCGTGGAGAAGCATCAAAGGTAGAAAAATCCCTCGTTATACTGTTGTCACAAATGGAATATGCATCAATGGGATGGTGTTTTACGGTGGGTTGACTACCAAAAGACAAGAGAAGAAATTGTGGATTTTTCGTTTTAACGTTAGAAGTGAGGGCATGAGTTCTATCAGCACATATCCGCAGGTCACAAATCATGGATCATTGATCAACTACAATGGGAAGGTAGCCGCGGCTAGTCCCTTGCCACGTGCTCCTCTTGGTAGTTTTGATTTGTGGGTTCTAGATGACTTCGACGAAAAACGTAGATGGTTAAGGGAAAAATTCAATGTCCACCCTTTGGTGTTGCATTTGTCAGGGAAAACTGAGTTAAAAATCTTAGGCATGAACAGAAGTAACGAGGTCGTTATAGGTCCGCTAAAGGTGCCCCCCAAACATGAGCCATTGTACATTTACTACTTCCACAAAGGAGGCCAGAAATTAATTAGAAGAGTTGAACTTGAAGGATTTGAAGAGTTTAGGTGCAATCATACAAGTGACGAGCAATGTGTTTGTCAAGTCATTTTCTCACCGGAACACTTTGAAAGTCTCGTGTCTTTATAATCTATGTCTTTTTTTTTTGTTTTTCTTTCTCTAATTTATGAAGGATTGTGACATACTGATGTTTGTGTTTCTTTTTAGTAACTATATTGTTGAATCATAGACCTACAATTCCATATTTGATTATTTATTACTTTCGTTTTTAAAGCAATGGCTGACAAGTACTTGAAGAGTTTGGGGTTACAGTAAACGTTGCAGCAAAGAAAAAACACAAACGTCGTCTATCGCAATCTTTCATAAAGGAGACCATATGTCTTCCTTGCTTTTTGTTCTGGCCATGGAGATTTTGTCAAAGAAGCTTGATGTAGGAGCACAGTAAGTCAAGTTTTGTCAGGATACATCCCAAGAGTGAAGCTCCTCTGGTTACCCATCTGAGCTTCGCAGACGATGTACTGATTTTCTGTGATGTCAGTGAGCAGTCCTTCCAAGGCATCGTGTCAATTATAAATGAATTTATATCGGCCTCAGGCCATCGTATTAACAAGGAAAAGTCAGCAGTCTTTATTGATGGTGGGGCTTTCTCTTTTGGCAAGGGAATTATACTGGATCCTTTCCTGTTAGATACCGTCTACTGGATTTCCTCAGGCCTCTTGCTCGTCCTTTTGTTCTTTGTGAAGGGGGATCATGTATCACAACAAGCTTTTTGTTTGATGATTGGACCTTGCTGGGTCCTTTAACTGACATAACAGGCTCTGCTGAACCAAGAATAACAGGTTTACCGGTGGATGCCATCCGTGACAGGGAATGGTGGTTAGCTCACTCCAGAAGCCGCAACCCTGTCATACACTTTCCTTCTTCAGTGTCTTCCTTCCACAGTTCCAAATTTGTAGGAATAAGAGGTTGATGATTGAATCTTGTGGAGACCAGGGAATCAACCTTCATCTACTCACTCCTCCTCCTCGGACACTTGGAATTCTCTTCATCCTACGGGAGAGTTGGTGGATTGGCATGCGTTCTTCTCTTGGATCACAACAAAGAAATCGTCTCCTTACCAGAGATAGATTGAGGAGTTGGGTTCTCTCAGTTCCGGCTCTTTTTGTTTGAGGACGAACTGAGATGGATGAAAGACCACAAGAATGTTTCTCTCAAGGCTCATCATTACCCTCGACGATATCATACCTCATTACCAGGGCCGGCCCAAACTATTTGAGTGCCTAAAGCAAAAAAAAATTTGGCCCATTAACAAAAGCTGTTATAAAAAAAAAATACAAGTTTTAACATGTATGGGATTCAAAACCGTGACCTGTACAACAAAAGACTTCAATCTAACCACTAGACCACAGTAACATTTTAAAATTGATGCCCCTAAAACTACTTATAATTATTTGATGCCTAAAGCCCTTGCTTCATGGGCTTTACCCATGGGCCGGCCCTGCTCATTACCCTCTTCCAGACCAAGTTCTTTACTATGTCTCTGTTTTTCTCATGTCCCCTGTTTTGTTACTCCTCTGTGGTATTTTAATGAAGTATTAAAAGAAAAATATTCATATAAGTTTTAAATTTAAAAATGGAAACGATATTTAACAACTCAGAGAAACATAGTATGAATGCTTAATTAAATTATCCGATTATTATATGTATGTCTCACAAGAATTTATGTTTCTACAGGCTTTTATACTATTATGTGAGCTCTAAAGATCAAACACTATCCTGACCAAACAATTCATTCCCATTTGTAGAATTAGCTGTTGTTGGTGTTTCAAATTGATATTCACCTTCTGAAGATGCGATAGTGCTTTCTTCGCCTTGTCTACTCTCACCATTCATCCTCATTCTAGCCGCCGCCAAAGAAACAACAGTACTAACTGCATCCTCAGGTTCATACACCAAACCGAACCCACACTTCACCACTTTACATTGTGCAATCACTTGACCAGTACCATCCGTCACAGAGAATGTAAGACTAGCTTTCGTAGGAACACATCCTCTCTTGTACTGCTCTTCTTGTCTTTTCTTGATGTTCAACCAACTTATGTAGCCGATAAAGACATGGTCTGACTCAACCGTACGCGGCTCATTTCCTGGTTCGAACCAACCTCCAACAGGAACACTAAACTGGCTACATGATGCATCTAAGTTTTCAAACTCACATGTGCACTTCACTAGAAGACGGTTGTTTTGATCTCTGTAGTCATGAAACGAGACAATGGCACACAGAGCTAGCCCAAGAAATTTATTGTCGCACCAATGTGGAGGTAGCTTTGGTTCTAACACTGAACTAAAAGCTTGATGACTGAACCATGGAGGTACTTCATATCCAGGATAGCAAGTCCCAATCAAAGCTCGGAAGACAAAACTCTGCAAGGAAAAAAGATAAATCAGAAACTTAAGATCTTGACTGATGATTAGGAGTTGAGAATTAACATGAAAGAGTAGAGACCTCATTGTGGTGATCATCTGAGATCAGTCGGCATTTTCTCAGAATGTGGGATGCAATATCATTCTTTGCGGCTTCATTGAGTTTGCAACAGTTAGTAAAGATGAACATGGAGTGAGTATCTTCCGTTGGCATAAGAAAGGCTAGAGGACTCGTGACTGTTTGCAGGGAGATACAACCGTGTGCATCTAAGCACTGGATATTCGGTGGAAGTGTTGAAAGAGATTTGAGTTTCTTGCAATACTTCAAGTCCAGCCATTTGAGATGATATAGTTGACTGATGTCAGATCCTAAGCTGCTGATCACATCATTTCTTCTGAAAGATAGACGCCGCAGAAACGATAAGCTGTTACTACCACTCATTATCTTTGGCATCTCATCTATTGAAGTTCCATCAAGTAGTAAAACACGGAAATTTTCCATGGTGTCTTCAAGATTTGGAAAACTCTTGAGATTTGAACAGCCAGAGAGAATCAGTTCTTGAAGAGCTTTAAGTTTTCCAATACACTCTGGAATAATCTCCAGCCTTCTGCACTCTTTCAGATTCAATAAGATAAGTCTCTGAAGCTTCACCATGTCTGTTGGGAGATCCTTTATTGCAGTTCCATCTAAATACAGAGATTCTATATTTTCTGAAATTAGCCGAAATTCACGAAGTTTCAAGCAGCCAGTCAGGATAAGAGTTGTCAATGAACTCAGATTCATCTCCGGTAGACACCGAAGACTTGTGCATCCTCTTAGATTCAAGAAAACAAGACTTTGCATTGTTTTCATCTCTTCAGACAAACAATCTAGACTTGTGCAACCTTCAAGATTCAATCTCAAAAGATTTGGGGCCTTTGAAAACCCTGAAATTTTCTGCAACATTCTCGAGTTGTTAAGATCGACCCACTTCAGTTTCGGTGTACCCTATTAAAACCACATAGAATTCCCACCACCAGTCAATAATCTACAGAATTATATTTATAACAAGAAAAAGGAACCAGAGATATATCTACTAACCTTGGATTCTTTCCAGACTTGTTTAATCTTGCTGTAAGGCAGCTTAAGATCAATAAGATTCTTCGGGGTGAAGTCTGATGGAAGTTCATCCAATGGGAATTTCAGCCATTCGAGATATCGGACCTCTTTCAATGGAAATGAAAGTCCATCAGGGAAGTTTAACTTGCAGTCACCTTCACATTCTAGTGGACAAGTAGAACTGTAGAGTTTAAGGTAGCGGAGATTGCACATGTTAGTAAAGGCCGACCTCTCTAAAGGCATGTTCGTTAATTCAGACATGTCTAGAGAAATGCCTCTCACAGTTTTGGTTTCCTGAAAAAGAAGTTAAAAGAAAAAAAAAACCATAGATTCACTTATAACACTGATACCACAAGAAAATTTAGCTATTTAATTAGCCTCACCATTTTGCCTTGCAGCGCAGCAATAATGTAGTTACCATTCCGCAGCCTACTTTTCACCTGATTAACCCCACAAGATGCTAATGAACAAATTTCCATGGCGAATGTATGTAATAAATCATGCATCTCTACACATCCTCCAGAGATACTAATAAAGAACTTGTGAACAAGATGAGTTATCTCCCTTGCAGCTTGAAAGGACTCATGATCGCCCGAATCCAGTAAGCTTCTTGCATAATACTCATCCTCTGATCTGAAGAAACACGCGATGTCAAGGAACGCGTCTTTCTCTTGTTCACTAAGCTCATCATAACTGATCTTGAACAGATTTTGAATAATCTTGTTGGGGCATTTAGCCGATGTATCAAGCCACGCTTTCCATTGAGCCTCACCTTTCCCACGAAGATCCATACCTAACATTTGAAGAGCCAAAGGATTACCTCTAGCGTAATCCACAAACTCTCTAGACATTTGCATATAACTTTCCATCTCGGGATCGCAGATACGAGCTTCAAAGGCGTAAAAGCTGAAGTACATCAACCCATCTACAAGATTCAATCTTGGAACCACGTAAGGATTTGGATCTAACTCAGTGATGAGTGTCCTATCACGGGTTATTATAACAATCCTGCTTCCTTCCTTAATCCAGTTTCGGTTACCAAGAAGAACTTGTAAATGTCTTGCACTACTCACATCATCAAGAACAACAAAGACTTTATTCAAGAGTAGCTTGCTCTCTAAGCAACCATGAGTAGCCTCATCATCACTTATGTTTGTGATCTCTAGTAATTCTTCAAGGAACATCTTCCTCACACGCTCAGCACCAGACCTAGCCCACTTCTCACGGATGTTCTGAAAATTCACGCAACGACAGAACTTGTATTTATACTTGTTGAAAAGCTCCGTCGCGAGACTGGTTTTTCCGATACCAGGCATCCCAACGATTCCGACGATACGAGTTTCGTCGCAGCGATCAAAATCCAACTTTTCCTTGACTTGCTTGACCCGATGTTCGATTCCAAAGAGAGGAGCCATTTCAGGCTTTTCTCCTTCCAAAGATGGAACGTCACTGAGGCTTTGCATAACTTTCTTGACGACCATCTTGACGAAATTGGCCTCATCACTGCAATAATAATTGAGATCAAATCAAATCTATACTAGTATAATCGCAGCACTTTTTGTGACGGATGGGTAAAAAAGCTTTTGGGTATATCGGATATCCGACCCATTTTAAAAATTCCTTCACAAAAAATTTGTTGGGTCGGGTTATATTTAACCCAACTCATACACCGGATATTCCATATTTAATAATTTAGATTTTTAGAAGATTTGATTAAGATTTATAATTATGATTCTCCTATCATCTTTGTTTGATTTGTTTTTAACTGTTTTGAATCATCATATAATACATAAAGTAAAAAAAAAATCAATTTTTTTTCTGCATATACTGTGATTCGAAATTTTAAAAACGAACATATATTATCTAATTGACGAAAATGTGTGTTCAACGTTCTACATCGATTAAAATATTTAGACAATGCTTCAGAATCATATCATAAATAAGAACATTAATAAAATAAATGAGTTTTTTGGCGGGATGGGATTGGCGGGACGGGTTTTTGAATCAACAATAATAAAAAGATTAAAATATCATTAATCCGCCGCTTCAATACGGATTTAATCCTTATTTTTTTAATACAAATCACAGGACGGGTTAAGAAATTACGGAACGGGTTATATTTCGGAAATGATTTATATGACGGACGAATTTGAATCAATATTTATATACCGCTTTAATACGGGTTAAATCCTCAGTTTATTAATAATTATCTCGTGGACTCGTGGTATACCATTACTTAATAACAATTGTAAACTATAATATAAATAAATATGTTATAAGGAGATATAATTTACAAAATATTTTTATACTAACTTTAAAATTAAATCATCCCGCGGTGTACCGCGGGTTAAAATCTAGTGAGAGAGTATGATGATACTGAATCGGATTTCTTAAATTGGGGGTTTAGGAGTTTGCACTTTACAGCCAAACACAGTTACATAATCCTAAACTTACCAAAATAATAATTACTTCAAATATTTTTATATTAAATATATAAACTCGAATTTAAATCATTTAAACCACAAAAAATACTAATATAGTAGTAGTATATAATTACGAAAATTAATAGGACATTTGCAAAAGTATCCGTCATGTTTCAAAACTATCTTTTTAAAAATATTTATTTTTATGTGCTAAATGAATAAATTACACTTGTTTTTTTAGAAAAGATAATAAAAAAATCAAATTTTCATGCCAAAATTTTTTTTCCAACTAAAATAATTTTTAGCGATAATATTTATTTTTCCCGCCAAAATAATTTTCCGGTCAAATTTTTATAGCCAAAAATTTTCGATGAGAATTTATAAAATCCTTGTAAATCTTTTAAAACCCTTGTAAAAATTTTAAAACCCTTGTAAATCTTTTCAAAACCTTTATAAAATTCTTTTAATACTCTTGCAAATCATTTAAAAAGTAAAGTAATATCTTTTAAAACCTTTGTAAACCCTTAAAACCCTTTATAAACACTTATAAGATCCTTTAAAAACTCTTGTAAATCCTTTTAAATCTTTTTAAAACCCTTTAAAAACTCCTAGAAATCATTTTAAAACCCTTTTAAAGCATTCTTAAATCATTTAAAACCCTTTAAAAACCCTTGTAAACCCTTATAAAATCTTTTTAAAACGTTGACCAAAAAAAAAAAAAAATCTTTTTAAAACATTTGTAATCATTTTAAAACCCTTGTAAATCCTTTAAAAATCCTTGTAAATCCCATATCCCGCAAAAATTTCCGGGATCATTTTTCCAGCCAAAAATTACGGGATCACTTTTTTCGCCAAAATTTATTTTCGTCGGAAAATTTTTTGGCTGGAAAATTCACTTTTTCATTTTGTTGACTTAAATATTTTTCAAATAAGGTAAAATGGTCATTAAAATTCAATGGCATAAATGAAAATAGCCAAAAATGGAAGTTTTTTTGAAAAAAGTATCAAAGAAATGACATTTCTAACAATTCCGCATAAAAATTGTCTGTCCATTTGAGAGTATAGGTAGCTGACCAGCCTATAATAATTTAGTAATAATGTAAACTTGAACATTAGCTAATTAAATAAATTTCAATATGTATTTTGTATGAATAGCAAAATATCTTATACCAATTTAAACCAATCTTAATAAATAGTTAAAATCGACATGTTTGATTTTTAAGATTTATATCACCTTCTAAATCCTAATCCTAATTCCACTAAATTGTATATTTGCGTCACCTTTCTTTCAATATATAAAATTTAAAGCGAAGGGAATCAAATTGAATCATTTACCTCTTCTTCCCCAAAGTCAAGCCCATCTTTAACGTAGTACACTCCAATGCCACCTTCCATTTCTGAGTCCCAGGCACATTGCCATGAGTCTCACATGCTACATCAAGAAGCTCTTTTAACTCATCTGCCCCAACCTTAAAGAATATGGGGATGGCCACAAGTTTGCCTTCATCAACACGTTCTTTGATCTTCGCCAGCTCGTTCAAACACCATTCTGATTCCATGTACCTTTCCGAGAACACGACTATTGCCATGTTTGATCCCTCGATCCTATGGAAAAGAACGGTTAGATCTTTTCCTCTCTTCTCATCCTCGTCCACGAACACATTGATCCCAGCATCTTTCAACGCCTTCTCCAGATGACTGATGAAGTTGTAGCGCACGTCAGCTCCTCGGAAATTAAGAAACACTTTATGGCACGGAAGCTGTGGTTTTTGAACGGTCGCAGGCGTCATTGTTTAGGGTTTTTTGGTTGGATATAGTTTGGTGACAAATTATGAGAGACAATGAATGTGTACGTATATAAGAGAATTAACTTTGTCATAGTTTCTTGTTAAGTAGTAGCGGACAACATGACAGTTCAACAACATGTTACATGTACGTGCCTTCCTCACTCCAAGGTAAAATAAGTTCATTCCACGACCTAATTCTTGAAACATTCTTAAGACAACATTTGTTTTCGTTAACTTTGGAAGAAGACTCCGAGTTTTGAGGATTTAATTATTTTACATTTGAACAAACAAGTGGCAAATGGAAATTTTCTTTTCTACAAACAATATTTTATATTCAATTTGGTTTAGGTTTAGTCGCATTGGACAAATGTGATGGGCAAGAGCATTGTGAAACGGGCTAAAGTTCTTTGCAAGATATTAGCGGGAACAGTCTATCACAGACGACGGATTTATTAAGTGGTCTAAACAAATATAACCTCGTGTGGTGGTAGGGTTGTCGAGGATCCGGATCTGATCACTTAAATTCGCATAGATTCTGAAATTCCTTATCACTTCTAACAAAGTTATTTCACGTGTGGTCACATAGAACAACGTTATCGTCCTATGTGCTTTACCGGTGGTAATATATCCGTAAAGCACATAATTAAAAACGTAATCTTTTCTTTTGAACAATCAAAATAGAAGTTCAAACCTATCTAGTTCTATTTGTAGAATCGGTGAAATACCTTTCGATCCTAATTAACATCCCTATATAATTGGTATTGGCTATGTCTACTAATCTTATTTTAATTACTTTTAGCTTGGGTCTTAACGAAAACAAGACTAAATCTCAATGGATTCAATTGTGGCCCAAAGCCATTTTGCCACATATTGCACCTCCTTTCATATATATATTTAAGTCGCCTTAAAAATGTTTATCTACTACTTGCATGATAACTATAATTTCAAGGCAATTTCCACGACACCACGACCATGGAAAGGACTTAGCCAACGATACTTATAAATATACACAACCTGCGTAATCCAGAAGTATACGTGATACTAGTTTATGTTTTCTTATTCTTTGAAGGAATGTCAATTCGGTTATTCGTTATCTTATTCCCTTTCTAATGTTTTCTTTATATGGTCGTTGCATTTGAAACTACAAAGAAAGAGCCTGGATCAACTACACAACTTGCATTATGCATCTTAATTTTTGTGTTGTTGTTATTATTAGAAGTTTCCGCAGGACTTGTTCAAACAGATTATGTCTTACCCGTTAAATTTAAAACACACTAATTTATGTAATAATATTTTCTGTAAAAAAATTCCTATATTATTCAAATTGCTCTCTAAAAAAGAGCTTTATTACAAAAAAATATGAAGTCATGAACAAGTCCACAATGAGAAATATTTTTTTTTTTTGAGAAAATTATTAACATTACCATGTTGCACTCTATGTTAAAGAGTGTTTTTTTTTCATCATCCCTTGTAGCCAGAAACAAAAAGCATTACCTAGAAACCACCAAACTTAAGATTTTTCAAGTCATGGAAGCTCGCAAAATGGTCAAAATTATCAACTTCGATAGCTCAGAAGAGACACTACGGTGCTCCTTCGTCCCCCATCTATCCGCAGCATTTGGGCGTAAAGGCATCTCTGTTCTCACAGATAAACACGATCAATCCTACAAGTCCATTGCTTCTGTATTGATTTTCTCTGAGAATTACGTGTCCTCCAAGGAATCTTTGGATGAATTTATAAAGACTATCCAACGGAGACATGAGAAAGGCCATATCGTGACCGCTATCTTTTATGGAGTCAGTAGATCAAATGTGCAAGAACTGATGGGAAATTTCAGCAAGGCGTTCTTGGAGCACCGCGATTCAGATCAAGTAAATCAATGGCGCAATGCTCTTGCGGAAATAACAAGCTTACCTGGCTACGAAACAAGCAATAATCAAAGGTTAGAAACACTTTCTACTTTTTTGTTTCCTTAATACGGCATATATATATATAACATATAAGTGCTAAGGGCAGTACGGTTTTTGTAGTGACTACAAATCTGTGGAAAAGATCGCGAGAGATCTTTACGAGAAGCTCTTTCCGAATGAACGAATTGGTATCTACTCAAGGATGCTGCCGGATATAGAAAACTTGATACAAAAGCAACAGTGGGGAGTCAGAAGCATAGGGATTTGGGGTATGCCAGGCATAGGCAAGACTAAGCTTGCTAAAGCAGTCTTTGACCAAATGTCTTGTGACTACGAAGTTACTTGCTTCCTACAAAACTTTCATGAAACCATTCATAAGAAGGGACTTAACGGTTTGCTGCAGGAACAATTCAAGAACTTTCCAAACCAAACACTTCAGCAAAGAGTTCTTGTTGTTCTTGATGATTTGAAAAATCATCTAGATGCAGAGTCTTTTCTCGGTGGGCTTTTCTTGTTTAGTCCCGGAAGCCTGATCATCATAACCTCCAGCGATAAGCAAGTGCTTTCTCAGTGTGGAGTCAATCAAATTTACAAAGTCGAAGGATTAAACAAGCATGAGGCTCAGCAACTATTCTCCTCGTGTGCCTTTGGAAAAGATGCGAAGGAGAATAATCTTCCTACGGAGCTTTCTATGAAGGTGATTGAATACGCTAATGGAAACCCTTTAGCTCTACAATTATATGGCGAAAAGATGTCATCACAAGAGCAACCGAACCAAAAGGAAACTTTGTTCCTCAAGCTCAAGCAAGCTCCTCCACAACGGATTGTGGAAGTAGTCAAGAGTAGCTACTTTCCACTTAGTGACAACGAAAAGAACATACTTGTGTATATTGCTTTCTTTTTCACAGGGGAACATGTTGACTATGTGTCGACACTACTACAAGACCTTGGTTTCTTTCCAGACATTGGAATCAACCGGCTTGTGGAGAACTCTCTGGTGACCATTTCAGAAAACAGATTGGACATGCATGGCCTGATACATGCAGTAGTTCGGGAAATCGGGAGTCTGGACCAAAATCAATGAAGACCCCCAAACGAGTTAAAATGTCATCGGTAAGATTCTACCATTTCCATCCAAAAGGTTCAATGTCTGCTTCTTGATCATCCATAA